GAATTATTCCTATAGTATTCAATATTCATTTAACTACCCCCTCTCCAATTGAGGGTGTAGGTGTTAAATATATCAACATTTCATATTGGGGAGTATTTATTTTTAAAAAAATGTATTTCACCTCACAAAATAAAATGCGAGGCATGAAGAAATGCGCATAGCGTGATGACTAAGGGGGGAGGAGGGAGACGCCAGGGAAAATCGGAGGTGCGCGAGAGCACAACAAAAGGAGGTAATGATGAGAAGGAAAATTGTAGTCTCCCAGATGACGTCGTAAGTTTGACGTCGTCATGAAATCATTAGTTAAAGGTTTAATATTGCGCTTTTATCTAGTATTTGAAAACACGAAATGGCGCGCGCCCTCTATAGGCATTATGCCCCACAGGCCACTTTGAGTTATGAGGCCCTGGTTTACAGAAGTGACAAAGAGGCACCAATTTCACGCAAATAGTGCATCGGTAGTTATAACATGATCATTAAACTCTACATATTGAACCCCTTAATTTTCGAAGAAAGTTAATTCTTAATTAATAATAGAACCACTTACAGAAATCATTTCTCGTGATCAACTTGATCCATAAGGATGGGCTTCTCATAACTTTGAGTCCTGCACAATAAAATAAATATGCTGAAAGGTATATGTACTAAGACAACATTAAGAACATGTGAAAAAGCGGATTTGTATTAACGCGCCAATCTTGTACCAAATGTACATAATTTTGTTTTATTTATCAATCGCGGGCGCGAGATGTTTTTCATATGTCAAGAGCGCGCACCTACACGCGCCGCACAGGAAGCATATGTTCATAAATAGAGGAAGCCCGAATATGTGGGAACGGGGGGTTTAGAGAGCAACTAGTTTTGGAAATTAACAATATGGGGTGGTTGTTACAGAAGCGCATGCTACTCATTCATAACCTGGATGCTGCTGACGCAAAAATACTTTATGAACACCCCCGCACTGGGTGTAGCGTCCATGGCAGGCACTTATCCTGGTTTATAACGGACAGATGTCCGACATGTCCTCAAACATCTAAATGGTACTGGTTGCAAGTTGGAGAGAACGCTCCAAAGATGTGACTCCGGTATCAGAGAGCGGTTGACCTATCACCCAGAAAACACCGGAACACGAGTGCCCGCGGAGACGCACGCATCCACACCGACCGTTGGGATGCTGATGAGGGCCAAATCCACGTTAACGTCAAGATAATATGAAGAGCGATATACAACCTGTCTTGGAGAGCTGCCTAATACACGGTAATATTATGATATTATTATTTAGTTGTTTATGAATATTATTTTTTTTTATCAGTAGTAGTAGGCCTGGTGTTGAAACATTATTTTCAAACTAGTAAACCTGTAAGTTAGAATTGTCAGTCAGACCACCAATAAATGTTTGACTTTAAAAGAGACTTCATTGTTGTTATTGTAGGGCATGGTATCGTACTACAGATCCTAGTAGATAGCACTCCTTTGGTTAATCTGGAGGCCACTGGCTTCCTGCTGTGGGTCTGTTCTCTCCCTGTTATCCTACATGGTATTTAAACAGCGCAACTGCTCCAGTCTTGGTGATTTAAGATGAAAGCCTGGTCGGCCAGTTACTGTTAAAAAACACTGCAGTCATTTAATTACAATTCAATTCAATTCAATCATTTTATTTGTATTAGCCCAATTCATAACAGAAGTTATCTCAGGACACTTTCAAATAGAGCAGGTCTAGACCGAAGCTCCTGGTTGCTGGAGAGCACTTTACAGAACCAACGTACCACCATGAGCAAGACCTTGGAGACGGGGCAAGGAAAAAACTGCCTTTTAACAGGCAGAAAACTAGGACAGACCCTTCGGCTCTAGGTGGTGGTCAGTTTGGGGTCGGAGAGGAGAGAGAGAACACGACGAGACGAGAGACAGACACCCCCTGACAAAGGTGCACAGCACAACAACAGTAGCAAAAACTACACAAATAGAACATGAAGAAGATGATAACCAATATCTCAGGATTTAAGATAAGATAAAAGATAAGATAGACTTTATTGATCCCACAATGGGGAAATTCACTCACTACAGTAGCTCCACATACAACACAAAAGAAAATACACTTAAAATAGACAAATACAATATATAATGAAAATAAACTAACTGTGATAAGTGTTGACAGATGTTACAGAGACAAACTCAGCTGTGATGTTTAACAATTGTTTCTATAAGCAGACTTATTTTAGAATGACAACATAATGTGATTGAGAAGTTGAGGTTCTGTGGAGCCTTTTGCTGTTTCTGATCATGGCCAATTGTTTGTCAGAGTGGTGCTTTAATTCTTTAATAAACAGGCCTTCCACTCTATTCGGCTTCAAGTTCTAAAGGTTAAAACAGTTTTGAAAGCAGAAACAGTTCCAGTCACAGCAGGCGGAAGTTAGGGTTGCACAATTAATTATAGAAATTGCAATATGCACATCTCAGATGCTGCAATTTTAAGGTGAAATGTGTGACAAACTGCATTATAATGAAGTACTGTAGTGCTGCAGAAACGCCCTGGCCTACAAATCTTTTGGTGCAGACCCCAAACAATTTCACACCATCGTGATTTTTATAGATTCTTCAGTGAAAATTACATTTGTGAAAATGTTCATTCCCACTAACCATGAATCATATTGCAACATTTGTTAAAATAAAAACAATAATGGCCCTAGTAAATGCACGCATTGTGATCAGAGTGCAATTGGATCGTCTAGAACACATCTGGAGTCGGTCAGACTGTGATCAGATCACATTGTTAAGGTCCCCTCCAGTCAAAATTGTGTTTTTCTTCTTGTTCCTACAATTATATGTTTGAACTTTGAGGAGTTTGACACTAGAAGGAAAACAACCCAACTGTCATTATCCAGTTAATGTATCCTGATACAGATAACATGTTAATACCAGGTTTAACTGAGTCCATGTTGTCTTAACAGGTGACCATAGCAACAAGCACACTTTGTGTCCTTCCTGGCAGGGTGGACCTTGAATTAGAATTTTGCTATACTTCAAGCTAGATCAAGGACGTACACAAGGCTTTAAGTTGTCCAAGCAACAGTCCATTGGCCCTCTTTGGCTGCTGCTCTGAAAGATTAACTAATACTAATACTAATAATGTTTTTCGGTTATGACTGCAAAAATACAAATAGCCCATAATTGGCAAATTTAGTGCATTTGCAGTAAAAATTTAAATCTTATATACATATATATATACATAAAATAAGCAGTGGTGGACTATAACAAACTACATTTACCCAAATACTGTACATAAGTACAATTACGAGGGATTTGTAGTTCCATTTAATGCTTCTTTACAAAACAAATATTGAGCTGTTTAATCCACTACATTTATTTGATAACTTTAGTTACTTTGTAGATTTTACAAATAATTTAAATAGTTTATTGCAAGCTAAAGTAAACAACATTGTGCATATGGCATGGTGCAAATTATGATCAACACATTAACTCTTTAATAACAGTTAACATGCGTTAACATGCATTATTAATAAAATATTAAATATATTTTTAATCTGTTCAAGCCCTCTTAAGTGAAAATGTAGCATCCTTGAGTTCTAAGGCTTGCAGTGTGAACGCAGCCTTGACTCTCTGAATTAAATGCATTGAGCGCAGTTCTTATCATGTTGTCTTCTCTATTGTTTTCTTTTTCAGACACATTTGTGCAAAATTGGACATTTCTCAGACTTCAGCTTGCCAAGAAAGCAACAAGTGCATCCACTCTAATTCCAATTTGCAGGGGCATTACGCACTTTTCTGCATTTAGGTGCTGGATTAAGTATTATGAATGTATCACAATGTCAGCTAGTGGATCCCAACTGGTTCCACTGTTATCAACACATGACCTTAAACTTGTATGCGCTCAATGCTCTGTCAAGGAGAAAGAAATTACGTATACGTTAAAATCAGTCTACCACCAGTGTGCACGCGATCTCCTGCTCTGCAAGGCCAAGGGTGGCAGCAAATGGAGGCCTGTTTCTAAGCGGCCCACGTTTCCAAATCCGAACCAGTATGAGGTATGCTACTTCTTTGTGGAGGGCTCTGGTTGCACGCACCACAAGAACCGGTGCACCTTTGCCAGAAGTAGTGAGGAAGCTGCCGTGTGGACATTTGAAAAGCATCAGAGATTGGACCATGTGCTTCTCTGTCATCTCATAGCTCAGTCTGAGAGAGGATCTGATCAGCCTGAGAACCCCGAATGTCTGGGTGACATCATAGCAACTCTAGATCTGAAGGCTGTGTGTGAGCTGTGCTCTGTCAAGGAGAAGGAAATAACATACACAGTTCAGTCAGTTAGTCACAAGTGCAGCCGAAATCTGCTTTTAGCCAAAGCCAAAACGTGTAACCAATGGAGGCCTGTCTCTGAGCGGCCTGCATTTGGTCGAACGGTTCTTTACCAAAAGTGTGCCTTCTTTGATGAGGACTCTAGATGTACGCGACACGGACAGGGATGCACTTATGCCAGAAGCAGTGAAGAGGCCACTGTGTGGAACTATGTTAGAGACAAAAACATTGACAAAGACAAATTAATCAGACTTGTAATTGAATCTGAGCCTACTGAAATAACACCAGAAAGCTCAGCTGAAAGCATCCTTCAACAGTTTTCAGGCGAATTCATTGAGTTGTGTAAACACTGCTTTCATGAACGTCCACAAAAACTGACTACCAAAAGGTGGAATGAAACTTGCTCAGCAGATGCAGCGCACACCTGGGATCCAGTCTTAGTTTATCACCTCTCAGAGAATAGTGGAAAGCAGATCTACAGCCAGGTGCGCCCTCTTCCCCAAAAATGTCAGTTTAATTACTGCAGTCACGTCAAGCAAGGCAAGTCCTGCTGGCATGAGGCCGGCCACTGCCAGTCTGCCCAGAGTGAGGTGGAGATGGCCGTGTGGAAGGCAGAGCACAGTGGCCTGTCTGTTCGGCTTCATCTCCTTCAGTTGAGCCGGCAGAAGAAGACGGAGACCAGACGGGTCACCATGTACTGCAAAGTTTGCCTCCTGGCCCTGTCCTCCCCAGAGAGCTTCTACAAGCACTGCTCTTCCTTGGAGCACGCCCAGTTACTCTCCGAGGACACTACCACCAAGTGGAGAGGACGACAGCCTCCACACAATATCCGAGCTGAGTTTTGGCTGTGTGAGAGGTAAACAACACTTTTACCCTTTACATGTGTTACAACTATGCATGCAGTTTCTGTATCTTGGCTTTGTCCCACTTTAGAGGGTAATCCTAACACCCATTCCTTTACTCTTTTCAAAAGTAATATTATAACTTTAGTTATTACACCCTGCCAACAGTAATTAACTGCATTGATTTTCAGCCACACCTGACAAAATTGGTAATTGTGTCTTTTCTCCCCAAAATTCAGACGTTGCATGTGCACTTCTGTGAATTTCAGAGTGTCGCTGCAGTTTTATTCATCAGCCTATGAATACATAAAAGTTACATGCTAGATCAAAAGCACACTTGGCTCAAGTTGGTGACATTCTTTTGAACAACTTCTGTTCAGAGACATAGTTTATCTTTCAAATATTTTTTGTTGTCCGTGACCAGTATCTTTCCAAGGATCCATCTGAAAGACAGACAGACAGTAAAATATTTATTCTACCATATATTCAGCCCATTGGTTTCTGGAGTACCGTTTTGAAGCCTCGAGAAACAGAAACTTTTTTGAGACTGCATTAGGTTTTTGGTGGTTTTACAAACAGATCTTTTACCTGTCACTTTGTTTTCTGGATTGTAATTTGATTTTAATGTGGCACAGAAAATGCATGTCACAATCAAAGACAATTCACTTTGTCATTAAAGACAAAAAGCGCACTTTCTTTATTTGATTCGTTTTAATTTAGGCACGTTAAATCTTCCACAGTAAGGAAGCTCCAAGGAACACCTCTGAAAACAAACAAAGTAGTAAATGAGTAAAAATCTGAGAAAAATGTTTGATGTGTTTTTACTGTTTTTAAGTGACAGGTTAATTGACGTAATTCACTGTGTAAAATTGCAATTTCACCCTAGACCAAAAACATGTGAGTACGGCAACAAGTGCCCAAAAGCTCATTCTGTGGAGGAACTGAAGGAGTGGATGATGCGTGCTGAGGAGGAGAAGGAGATCCGACAAAACATTGAAGCACAGGGTCTCATGAGCTATAATGAAAGACTCCTGGAGGAATACAAAAACAGCAGTAATGAAGTGTACATTGTGAGTGCAATCTTTTGTGTCATTTATTTCGTCACAGATTGTTTATTTGCTAGTCCTCAGTCAACTAAGAGGCACGCCATGTTCTCATAGAGTCTTTGAATCCAGCCTTCATCGTATACACAGCCTGTCTCAAGGTCATAGCAAACTTTATCACTACCCTAAAGAAAAAAATTATTTACACACACACACACACACTTTGGATAGTTTATAGAGTATTTGTAACATCTCAGCTGTTTCGCTTTGTCTGTAAATGTTTAACAGATTATAGAGTAAATGTAACAGTTCATGCAGAAATCCTAAGAGTTGTTTTGTGCCTAAACCTAACCAAACCTTAACCAACTATTTGTTGAATTTTAACTAATGAGGTGTTGAAATGTTAGATACATATCAACATCAGAAAAAGCAAAAATAAAATCAGAAAAAGAAATAAAATAAAAAATGTTTCCATCAGTCAGTAGCTGATGCTTTTTGTGATTTTGTGTCATTTGATAAATGACAGTAGAGCTAAAGATACCTGGCTGGATGTGGACCTTTGGATTTGCATTGTGGGTACATAGTAACCTACCTGAGATACTGATTTCTGGGTATTATTTAAAGGACCAGTTTAGTGGCATCTAGCAGTTAAGTTGCAGATTGCTGATGAATACCACTTGCTTTCCAAGTATATAGGAGAAACTACAGTGGCCGTGAAAGGCCCTGTTGAGAGCCAGTGTTTGGTTTGTCCATTTTGGGCTCCATAGAAACATGGTAGACTCTGTACAAGTCAAGCCTCCAGGAAGAGCGCCAGGCTTTGGAGCCAGTTTGATGTAGTGCCTAAACTGTCTAATTACAGCATTGTTGTCTGTCATGTGATGCACACAAGATCAAAAACACATCTTCCTATTAGCTTACATTGTGATAGAAGAAGTTGTAAAATGGTGGATGGCCTCAGCAGATAAGGGTGAAGCATCAACATCACTAAAAAAAATGACAATTGGATCTATTTGCTGTGATAACATTTGTAAAGTTAGAAGAACTACAAGATTAAAACATTTTATCCTCATTCAAGTTAGCAGAGAGCAAAACTAGCAGTAAGCGGCTTAGCCAGCGTAAGTCTCTAGTGTGATTGCTCTATGGGCCACACAATACAAAAGCATATGTGGAAGATCGGGTAACTTTTTTGGCTAACGAAAAACAACTATTCTTATTTTCAGGTGATTATACACTAATGAAAACCTACCTATGAATATTATATTCTGTTTCTAGATCCTCCTAAATGTTACACACAGGACGGGAAGTATATTGATTTCTGCTTCCTAAAGACTCCCAACACTGTAGAAGGCTCCCTTTAAGTTTTCTTTTTTTACTTGATTTCACTTAGAAAAAGTACATTATGGGCCCAAATTGACTTTTCATCATGTACAGAGGTATAAAAAAAAACTAGATATTATTAACTATAATAAATGATTATACAAGTTTGTAACTTAGAACAAAGGCAGCTGGTTAGTTGACTGAATGCATTATGTGTTTTTATGTTACTAATTCACAGATGAAGCAATTTATTCTTTAGCTCCTCACCGTCTTCAATCACAATGTTTTGATTCACTATTTCAAACCTTGAACAGATCTCAGAACAAGTTGACGATGTCAGTATCTCTTGTGATGAAGAATTAACTCTGGAATGTGAAAAGATTAATTCAACACTGCAATGGAACTTCCATGTTGAAACAGAGGTAAGAGTTTCACGATAAAGAAGTGTGTTACTTTTCCTGTGTCAAATGCCAGCTGCTGAATACCTAACTTCAAACAACTGTATACAGAAACTGAGATTCTGACTTCGGGGACACATTTCCGACTGAAGACCAGATTTTTGGGTCAGTAATCAAGGTTAGGGGTAAGGTTAGGTTAAAGATAGGGTTAGGGGGAGTCTCCAGGCATATGCGCCATTAAGAAGAAGAAGAAGAAGAAGAAGATATACTTTATTGATCCCCTAGGGGGAAATTGTTTTTTTCACTCTTTTTTTTTATACACACACACACACACACAGGCTGAAATGCACACTT